TCATTACCTCTATTCAGAGGAGCCGTTTATTTTCAAAGTTCGTTGCCTCTATTCAAAAGAGTCATTTATTTCTCAAAGTTTGTTGCCTCTGTTTAGAAGAGCTTTGCTTACTTTCTTTTTTAAAAAAAAAGGAGAAAAACACAAAAAAAGAAAAATATTGAGTTGAGTCTTAAATGGGTGTCTATGTCTTTACACAATTCTTGTTTCATAGAAAATGTGCAAAGAGGGGCAGCTGTAGACAGCCAATTTATCTGGGGTCTACTTGTAATTTTTACGAATAAAAAATCATGAAAAAAGTAAAAAATGAAAAAATAGATGGTTGAGTTTGTATGAAATTATTAGAACTGGTTTGTAAAGTTAGAGTTGGGTTTAAGTTTAGAATTCAAAAGAAATTAGGATTCCTTTTTGGATTGGAGTTCTCAGATTTAGAATCCTGTAAATACATGCCTACATATATCACACAAACACACAAAAAAAATTAGGGAAAGAAATAAAAAATTGACGGCAAGCGAAGGAACATGAAGCTGTTGGCACCAAAAAAAAAAGAACTGAAAAGAAGATTAAGCAGCAAGAACGAAAAAAGCTAGCAAGAACCGAAAAATAGTGGAAGGCAACAGTGGAACCGAAAAGAAGATTGAGTAGCAAGAACGGAGGTGCCTTAGTGTGCTTTGATGCCTTAGTGTCATGTGATAGGCTAGCACATTGATTTGGTAGAATTTCACAGGCTTACGTCAATTTTGGTACTTTTTCTTACTTTTATTTAGTTTTTTTTAATTGTTTGGTACTTTTTTTTTCTTTAATCGATTGTTTATTCATTTTTTTTTGTTTATGCATAATTATTTATTTATTCACTTTATTTTATGATTTTCATTATTTGATATTAAATAAAATAAAAATAAAAAAATAAAAAAATAAAAATTTGGGAATAAATATTAATTATCCAACGATGGAATTTATAAAAATTTCAAATGGTAAATTTTTATAAAATTTTTAGGTAAGAAATTTTGTCTAAATTTGACCCAAATGGTGGAATAATTTAGACAAAGTTTCAATAACAATAATTAATATTTATTTTCAATCCAAAAAAATTAAAAAATATAAAATTTTAGAATTAAATACAAATTATCCAAGGATAAGATTTTTAGAAATTTCAAATGGTAAATTTTTTAAGAAATCCCTAGGTGAGAAATTTTTTCTAAATTTATCCCAAATAGTGGAATAATTTAAATGAAAGTTTCAATAAAAGTAATTGTATTCTTTTTTCCAAACTAAAAATTTGGCTTGAAAATATATGATAATTATCCAAGGATGAGATTCTTAGAAGTTTCAAATGGTAAATTTCTAATAAATCTCTAGGTAAGAAATTTTCTCTAAATTTGACCCAAATGGTAGGATAATTTAGATGAAAGTTCAATAAAAATAATTGTCATATTATTTTCTTTCCAAGAAAAAAAAAGAATTTCTAAATAGGCCCAAATAGTGAAAATTTTATAAATTCAAAAGAGAAAATATTTCTAATTTGGCCCAAATGATGGAATAATTAGATCTATTTTCAACAAAAAAATGATAATAATAAAAAGTAATAAATAATTAACTTTTTCCAACAACGAGCCTCTTTAAGAAATTAAATTTGATCCTTGAATACTCTTGAGGTGAGAAAATATTTTTTAAGAATTCTACCAGATTGATAGAAAAATCTTATAAATTATTTTCAATATTTCAACTTAAAATTTGAAACCATTAGACTCAAAACCTTAGGATAAATTTGAAATAATATGGTACCATCCTTCGAATGGGCATGTGGGGGTGCTATAACCTTCCCTACATTTAACCGACTCCCGAACTCTATTCTAATTAATAGACCCAAACATATTCTTTTAGAGACTCTTAGTCAAGCTTAGGAGTTCTTTAAAAGGATAGATTTCTTAGGTGACCAATCACACCTAGTAAAAAAGATTGATGGTGACTCCATTCATTTGTTAAATCTAACTATAAATTTATGGATCTATATGTTATGACAATCATTAATCTCAGGTATATGAATTCAGAATAAATTTGACAATGTTAATGCTACTGTGAGACCATAGTCAAGAGATATAAAAAAGAATTGTAAATACTAAAATTTGAACTACTGACTTACTGGATGCAATTTTTTGAATATGAATACATGAACCAATTCAGATAAGCTATGGATTCCGCTAATGATACTTTTTCAGATCTGTATCTTTAACATTAATTTCCTCTTGTATCTTCATGTCTATAAAGCTGAAAGCATTATTTTCATATCTAGAGTTCTATTTTTGTTCCACAACTTCAGGGCATGTCATTATTATGTGGCGGAGGCGATAATTGGTTATAATTAAGCATTTGTTTGCTTGACGCAAAAACTATATATTACATTGAGCATAATTAATTAAGTTAATTTGCCTTAAAAAAAGGGGCAACAAACATTGTCTTAACGAAAGTACCCCAGCAAAATAAAATCAACTTAATCATCCAATCTGCTTCATTCTGACATTTATATGTTAAGGTTTTCTGCTATCTTCATCCTCAAGTATGCATTATACATTCATCAATAGCTCTTTTTCTTGACATCAAATGCCCTTTTGGCCTTTTCCAATTTTTTTTTTTACATATTATTGGGTTTTGTTAATAATTAAAGGTTAATTAAGATATTCATTATAGTAAAATTTGTATTAAATGCAGTAATTAAATCTAATCATAACTCAATTAATTCATTTAATTATTTTTAGAAAGAAACATTTTGTAAGTACGAAATTAAAATTTCAGTATCTGTAATTTCTTTTTTTATCTTCGCATTATAATCTCATTTGTTAAAAAAAAATCAATACATTTAAAAGATATCTTTATTTAATTTAATGACTAAAAAATATTCTTAAAACAATGGTTAACAAAAATCCATTATAATTTTACAAGAGGATTAAATTCAACTCAATTAAACTAGAGAGCCGTGTGACTCAAAAACATTAGTCATTAAATGATTTAATTTTTTGGATGATTTGCACAGCTAAAGATTACAGAGGACTTGTATTATCAGCAGAATTAACATTCATTCTATTATGTTGCCCTAAAAGGCTAAAACATTGTCTACAAGATCATGAGTGTTTATGACAATCATCTTGCTCTCGCAATTTGATTGATCGTCGTGATAAAACAATGTGGGCTCGTGCTTTTGTTGCAATTTGAGTAACATGCACCAAACATTTGTAATATTATATAATATTTTATTTTGATTTTGATTTTTAATTAATTTTTTTATCTACAATACTTTAAAAAATATACTTCAATCTTTTCATTTTGTCAAATGAGACTAAAAAGCTCAAATAAATATATCATCAGTATTTCAAGGCCACATGGTAGAGGTCGCAGTCCCAAAAGTCAAACGATTTTTTTTTTTTTTTTTACATGGACATTCAGGTCATGTTGAAGTGACAAATTTTATTAAATTAATATAAATTGTGATTGATAAATTGAATAAATTGAATAAATTGAATATATTTTTTAAAATTTCTAATCTATTTTTAATTTTATACTTAAATCACCTAAGAAAGGCATTATTCATTTAAATTTTTTCAAATCTACGATCTTCAAAATCTCTCTAATTTCTATATTTAAAAAAATTAAATATGTTTAAATGATTGCAAATTTAAATTTTGATTTTAAAAATGACAAATGAAAATAAAATAACTATAACATTGTGAATGTTTAATGCAATCTAGCTTATTACTTGTGCATGTAAGTGCTATATACATCTTAGATATGTCTTTAATAAATCTAACTTCTTATATGTGAAGCTGAAATCATTTGAATACACGTGGTTAGGCTCTCAAATCTCAATACGATTAAAAAAAAAAAAGTAAGTAATAATATAAAAATCTTAAAAGTAAGTCATATCATTATATAGGTGTGATTATGAGATGTAATCGATTAAATTTGAGTCGATGTAGTATTAAATTCGAGTTTGAGTTCGATTCAAAATCAATGCTTAAAATTCGATTCAAACTTAATCGAGTTTTATTTTTTTAGTTCGAGTTTTACTCGAGATAAAAATCGAATTACTCAAACTCGCTCGATTAACATGTAAAAATAAGTTTGATTATTATATTCGATAAAAGCTCGATTTTTTGTACTCGAGTTCGAATTCAAGTTTGAAATATTTTATTAATTAAAATACTAAAAATATATTTAAATATAAAAGCTCGATTAAACTTGCAAGTTACTCGAGTCGGATATAAGAATGTTCGAACTCGGCTCAATCGATAAGTCAAATCACTCGAGTTCAAGTTTGATTCGTTAATAATTGAGTTGAATTCGAGTTTTATTTTGATCGAACCTAAGTAACTTGAGAGTATTAATGTATCATTTACATCCCTAAATATGATATGGACAAATATGAAAAACAATAATAAAATAAATATTAGGGATTACAATTTAATTCTAAGTATATTATATGAATTGATTGTTCACGTGATTATTAAAATCTTTTCATAATTATTTGTAGAAAATTGTTATAAAAAGTAAAAACTTTTCGGCACCGATAAATTATACAGTATATTGTCTTTAGTTGAATCGCTTTTTTTATTATTATTATATAAGAAGTCGCATTTGAAAATTTAAAAAAAAATTATAAGTGTTAAAATTTAATTTTAAATATATTATATGTTAACTTTCGAATAAATTAGTTGAATAAAATTTCAAATTTTACATAATAAATAGAATGTTGTAGTAATAATTTCTCAACAAGGTGAAAAGTCTAATGCTCTTGACCGATAGGAATATATAGTTTATTGAATAATTTCTCTCTAAATAAAAACATGCTTACCCTACATTTTACATATCATTTTCTTGCGACTTGAAAGCAAACTAATAAGCACAACGAGGTGACAAGGACTCAACAAGGATGTGCATATGGAAGATCAAATTCAAGGTCCCCTATTTTGGAGAACCCACATGTGAAATCTGATGTGGCTACCAGCTGGTCAATTCTTATTCAGAAGTTCTTCTATCATCTGCAGTGTTGCCTTCTGTTCCTCATCTAATCCATTTCCAACTTCCTGTCTCACCATTTCGACTGGTTCCTCTGAAACCGGTATTTTATTAGTCTCAAGTACTTCCCCATTTTTCTTTCCTAGCTCAATTGTCATGACCCAACTTGAATCAGATTGCGGCCCTGCTCTCTTTTGCCAGACTCCAATATGAGAATTCTCAGTGTCAAGCCTTAGACAAGTTACAGATGGATATGGGGTTTTGCAACATTTGCGTAGCTTGTCACTAAGGATTGAAGAAAGCGCAGTTGTACTGCTGCTAGAAGCTGTCGTGGAATTTCCATTGCCTGTTTGGTTTTTGGCCACTGGAAAGTTTGTTTTGGCGTTACGTCCACTCATCAAAATGGCTGCCTCATCGTAGGCTCGGGCTGCCTCTTCGGCTGTTTCAAATGTCCCAAGCCAGACCCTTCTTTTCCTATGACAATATCATACAAAAATCAAGAACATTACTGCTTATATAAATATAGAAGAACTAAGATCTTGCATACACCCAAAAAAAAAATGATGATGCTTGACATTGTTTGACGATGGAAATGTAGCTATTAAGAACAACCCTTTTATCTTGGAGATTAGGCTCTTGATCAGTTCTCATTTTTGGTCATGAGAGATTTAGCCAACTACAAGCAGAAAATGCAAATGCACTATGCAGGATTTAGAATCCAAATTAAGAAGAGAAGGCAGATCAGGAACCAAAAACTGGACTTAAAATGTAAATCATAAGAACCAATTTGGAAAGTTACATCCTCAATTCTTAAACTATGTAAAATGACATGAATTACACGGACAGAAAATGAGATATTATCCCATAATGCTGGAGTTAACAGCTA